AGGGCTTAGGGTTTCGGGTTTTCCTTCAAAGCTTTGGCGCCGGCCTGGTGAGTGAGGAAGAACCACGGATGCCGAGTGTGCCTTGCACCGACAGCGTCCGCAGCTCGATCATCCCCACGGAAGCCTCGAGGGTGTACTTAAAGGAAACTACAGGTGGGGAGTTTGGAGTACATAGGGCTACCCCCAAACCCTATTCTAAAGATTAAGGCCCCTATATTAAACCCTTGAGCCGTGGCCTGACTGCCAAAGAAAGTCCTTCTTCAGAAGCTTTTCGAGTCAAGCCTAAAACCACAATATCCCGAACCCCCGCCTTTACTGTCTGGTGCTTAGTAGGGAATGGGGGAATGGGTTATAGGAACTACTATAAGGGACCTTAAGGGACTATCATAGGGATCCATTCCCCATTCCCTACTAAGCACCAGACACCCTAAACCCTAAACCCTAAACCCTAAACCCTAAACCCTAAACCCTAAACCCCTTTGAAGGAGACGATGCTTGCTCCACATCGACAGGCCCCCCCAGGCTTCAGCAGTAGATGAACGCCGGTACAGAAGCCTACCCACTGTTCCTAAGAGTCCAGTGGTCCTTACTATCACTGTACGATATTGTACCCCCCCAAACCCTATTCTACATAGGGTTCCCGAGTATAGTTGTACTAAAATATAACCCCAAATACCCGATTCTACGTCGGGTTCCCTATTTTTTATACTCCCACACCGCCAAAACCTCATTCTACATAGGGCTCCCTGTTGTAGTTATAGTCTAGAATAAGTATCCCCACACCTAAACCCTAAACCCTAAACCCTTGAATCCAACCTCAAGGGCCCGCAACTTATCATGGCTCCGCAGGGTAACTAACCCTAGGGCTCCAAGTATTTAAATAGTACCTACTTTGGGGTCTAAAGCCTGTAAATAGTACCTACTTTGGGCTATTTGGAGCCCCAGGTTCCGAAAATTGGGGACCCTAATATAATACCCTAAATAGTAGGATCCTTATGATAAGGACCCCCAAATAAAGTACCCCCAGATTTTCGGAAACTCCCATATCATGGCTCTCCAGGCTAAGGCCTGTAAATAGTACCTACCCTAAACCCTAAACCCTGAACCCTAAACCCTAAATTAAACCCCAAACCCTAAAACCCTGAACCCTAAACCCTAAGAGCCCCAGGGTAAGGCCTGTCACTGAGGCAGTGTCCTCTGTTGTGACGGTCAGACCGTGGGGCTGGCCCGGAGGCAGAAGGACGCGAAACTCCTGTTAGGGTTTAGGGTTTAGGGTTTAGGGTTTAGGGTTTAGGGTTTAGGGTTTTCAATAATTAGAACACTGCTTTGGGCCTCGTTATAGTATGTTTATAATAAGGAGCCCTAACAGTAATATTGGTTATTTTCTAGGCTTCTATATTAGGGGCGTTGGGTTTGGGGTTTAGGGTTTAGGCCCTCAGTACATCCAAAAACGGCTCAACCCTGCAAGCAAATTCAGGGCTTTGGGTTTTAGGTATTTTGCGTTCTAGATCCGCGCATTAAACCCTAAATCCTCAACCCTCAAGCCTTTTTCAGGGTTTTGGGTTCAGGGTTTGCTGCAGCGCTTTGGGATTCAGGATTTAGGCTTGGGGATTTAGCGTCCTGAGCCTGCTGTCGAGGTGGGCATTGGGGCCACGGTTTAGGGTTTTGGGGTTCAGGGTTTAGGGTATTTGGGGACACAGTTTGATACTGCAAGGGCCGTGGCTTACGACCACCACTACCGGGCTTGGGCCCCAAGTCCAAGCAGTAAGAGCAAGAACAGAACAGAACAGAACAGAACAGAACAGAACAGAACAGAACAGAACAGAACAGAACAGAACAGAACAGAACAGAACAGAGCATGAAACGAGGAATGCATACGCAGACCGTGAGGCATCTGAGACATGAGCCCTAACTAGCAACCGCTCCCCCCCAATAAAGTTCCGGAAGAGAGAAAAACTGTCACAATCCCGAAAGCTGAACCCCTGACTCTTTAGGGGTTGGGGTTCATAGCATCTAAGGTTTTCTTCTTGCCAACCCTGATTATCGAAACCCAAAGCTCCACAGCAAGAGACCCCGAATCGCCTTTTGGCCTTGTGGGGGATAACAAGGTTTCTTCGGCTTTCTCATACCAACGTGAAGGCTTGGGGCGTTTAGGGTTTCTCTCTCTAAACCCTAAACCCTGAACCCAAAACAACAAACCGTAGGACAAACCTCTTCAGGGGCCTATTGACCATAAGGGCCTCAACCGTTAGAGTAGGGTTTGGAGGTACGAACTATTCAGAAGTCCATGCGCAAGGGCCCGGCAGGGAATATCCTGGGGCGAACTAAACCCCAAACACTAAACCCTATACTCTAAGCCCTAAACCCTCAACTCTAAACCCTAAACCCTCAACCCAAAACCCCAAACTCTAAACCCTCAATAAACCCCAAACTCTAAACCCTAAACCCTCAACCCTAAACCCAAAATCCCAATATAACCCCAAACTCTAAACCCTATACTCTAAACCCTAAACCCTAAACCCCAAATCCCAATATAACCCCAAACACTAAACCCTAAACCCTACACCCTAAACCCCAAATCCCAACAAACCCCGAACCCTAAACCCTCAATAAACCCCAAACTCTAAACCCTAAACCCTCAACCCTAAACCCAAAATCCCAATATAACCCCAAACGCTAAACCCTATACTCTAAACCCTAAACCCTAAACCCTAAATCCCAAAATCCCAATATAACCCCAAACTCTCAACCCGAACTCCAAAACCCCCAGACCCTGAATCTGCCGAAGCCTTCTTAAGGTTAGGGTTGAGGGTTTAGGGTTTAGGGTTTAGGGTTTAGAAGCTAGGTTCCCCAGTAGCCCCTAAATGATAAGGGTACCCTTTTTCCTACTATTTGGTTTTAGTAAAGGAACCCAGAAAGAAAAAGGGCAAAAGGGTACTACTGGGCACCCAAGGAAGTATGGGCCCCTAATATGGAGCCTTAGGCCTTTCTAGGGAATCTTCAGGGGTACATAATAGGGTATATAGTAGGTGTATAAGGATCCCAAGGGTTAAGGGCCCATACTAGGGGCCCAGGGGTTCAACCTGAGATTCTTTGCCTGAGAAAAACCCTGAAGCCCCCTCGCCCAGGAGTCACGGTTTAGGGTTTAGGTTTTAGGGTTTAGGGTTTAGGGTTTAGGCTCGGAGTTTGCCGATTCAGAGAATCCTAAACCCCAAACCCTATACCGTAACCCGAAGCCCCTCAACCCACTGCCCAAACCCTAACCCCTAAATCACCCTTAACCCTTAACCCTAAATTCAAACACTCCCCAAAACCTACCTTAACCCCAACAACCTACCATTTTAAGGACTTATATAGGGAAATCATACTATTGAGGAGCCCTAAAAAGGTAGGTTCTTCAGGGTCCTAAACCCTAAACCCTAAACCCTAAAACCCTAAAACCCTAAAACCCTAAACCCTAAACCCTAAACCATAAACCCTAAACCCTAAACCCGATCCCGCCTTCGGCCGTTGGTTTTTGGTTGGAGAGGCCATGCTCTCTAAGCTGCCAACTGCCGGCCTTCTTAGGGTTTAGGGTTTAGGGTTTAGGGTTTAAGGTTTAGGGTTTAGGGTTTAGGGTTTAGGGTTTAGGGTTTCGGGTTTAGGGCTTTCGGGCCTGGGGTGCTTATAATACGGTTGATGATATATGTCCTGCAATACCCATAGTGAGGAATATACCATAATTCCCATAGTTTAGGGCCCTTGTAGGGTAATGCAGGCTTTATATCATCAACAGTAGGGTTTAGGATTTGGTCTAGACCCGATAAACCCTAAACCTTCAGGTTTAAGGTTTAGGGCTTTAGGGCGTGAATCAGGACTTGAGGGGTTCGGAGCATGCTCCGCTTTTAGGTCGGGTAATCAAGGTTCTATAAACAGGATGTGTATGGGGTGTTCTAGGTGGTTCAAGAGGGTTCGGTGAGGTTGCTTTAGGGCTTCTCAGCTTGTGTTGTCAATGCTTTGCTGGGTCAGAGCTTTACGGGCTTGGGGATTCCGGATTTTCGGGTAGGTGGCACTGATGATTGTAACAGGGATACCGATCGTCACCGTCGTAAATGTAAGGGTCCAGGTACCCGGCTACGTGTCCGACTATACACGTAGGGTAATGGCAAGAGCGATGAGTGGGTGAAACCGCATATGGATCTACTGGAGTAGTTCAAGTGTAGGTTTAATCTTAAACGGCCTAGAATGTCGGGTTTAGGGACACTTATCACCGAAGTATAGCTGTACTTCTAGCCCAAGCAATTGTCCGGTCTGCTGGTTACCTAGGTCATACCTGCGTTACAACGATACGGGGGTTTCAGAAAATAGGGGACCCTAATATAGCACCCTGAATACTAGGATCCTTGTAAAAAGGACCCCAAAATATGGTACCCCTAATTTTCGGAAACTCCCATACTGGTGTGTAGGGCTGTCCGGGAGGGTTCGGGGGTGGAGGGCTTAGACCGGACTGAGCTGGCGGTATCGGATCTCGGGATTAGTTTCCTTTTTTTTGGGGGTTTAGGGCTTAGGGTTTAGGGTTTAGTTTGTTTTGTTTAGGGTTTAGGGTTTAGTTTGTTTTGTTTAGGGTTTAGGGTTTCTTTTGGGTTTATAGTAGGGTCCAGAGTTTAGTTCAGTCTTTGGGTTTAGGGTGAGCTTGGGGTTGAGAGTCTATGCTGTGATGTTTTGGGCTTGCAGAGGAATCGGGACGGATTAGAGTTTGCTTTGGGGCTTGGGCACTGTTCCCGGTGTTGGCTAGGACGTCTAGGGCTCAGCGTTGAGGGTTTAGGGTTTAGG